TTTCTCAAATATATAACCACTTTCTTCATTAATTGTTTTTGACCAGTTCTTCCAATTAATTATTTTAGAAACAAGTATTTGGAGGTTGTCTCATTTTGATGCAAATAATTTAATTATTTACTTAGCAGGAATTCTTGTTTTTTTTTTTTCTATGTAAGCATCTTGTTCTGTTGTGAATCAGCTGCACTAGTGACTTGGAATATAGATATTGAGTTTCAACCCTTTTAGGGTAGAGGAATGGATGCTTTCTACAACCTAAAACATTTGGAAAAGCATTAACAGTCAAATCAAGACCAAATGACACCTTTAAAAAAATCCTCACATTCTACCCAAGCAGTATTATAAATGAAATGAGGTGTTTATGCCCACTGGGCATGGCTTCACAAGTAATTTCATATATTAATAACTTATTTCAAAAGTGGTGAGGTATTACATGTAACGTATTCTCTCTCCATCAGTAAAGTTCAGATTGATAGGGAGCACCCAACCCATGAACAATGGAAGCTACAGCTATTGTCATGAGGTTAGCATAATATTTTTTTTGTAATTGTTCTTCAGGTTAAGCTCTGAAATTTCTCGCAACTGGAGCAGAAAGAGAAATGAGCCTCATTATTGAACCAGAAGAAGCAGTCAGTTCATTAGTGGATATTTTCTCCAATTTAAAATTCTGAAATAAATTCCCCAAGAAGAGCTTTGTGTTCAGGGTATGAATTATTTAATAGACAATATCTTCTAAAAGTTGAATGAAATTATATGGCAAGCAGAATGAATCCTGATTGCATGTTATACAGTGTAGTGATTTCATTTGGAATTAGAGGCCTTGTATTTTTTACTGGATGAGAGGGAGTTTGTGTGAGCATTTTTACAAAAGTATCATCAAATAAATTAATAGTGTGTGTGTGTGTGTGTGTGTGTGTGCGCACATGTGCGTGTGCACACATGCGCAAGTGCCTGTGGAAGCCAGAAGAAGGGTCAGGTTTCCTAGATATATATTTATAGATGGTTGTGAGCCACCTGATGTGGGTGCTGGGAAACAAACTCTCCAACCCCAAGGTTTGGTTCTTAATCCATGTATAATTATCCTACGTGTGTGGCACAGTATGATGCTTTGATGTATGTATACAACTTGAAATGATCATATCAGGGTTTAGCATATGCACTGCCTTTAGCACTTATTATTTGATCATAATGGAAACAACACAATTGCTTGTAGATACATCGCAATGCAACACAGCATTGATATTCCTAGTCATCTTACTTTTCAACAGGACAACACTGTTTTTATTCTTACGTAACCATAGTTTTCTACTTATTGATCCATCTCTCTCCAGCCTTTCATCCCACCCTCTTCCCCTACTGCTTGGAATTAATTTTATACTCTTCTATTAAATTACATTTTGTAGTTTCAAAAAATGAGACCCATGCTCCAGTAGATGGACCTACACACAGAAAGATCAATACTATATCATGTCTCTATCCATTTATCAGTTGATGGGAATCTAAGCTCTCTACAAATTCTGGTATTATGAATTGAGCAGCAGTAAACATGGATGAGCAAGTATCTCTATAGGATATCTAGAGTCCTCTGTGTATACCATTTTTTATCTTTTCAATGACTTCCACATTGTTTTCCAGAAGTGCTATATTAACCTATTCATCTACCAATTACACATGATAATTTTCCCACATACACCCCAACATTTGAAATAATTGCCTTTCTCAGAGTAGGCATTAGAATCTAATTGGGTTAATTAAAATCTCATTATGATTTTGATTAACAGTTTTCTATTGCATAGTTATATTAAAAATTTCCATAAACCTGTTGACTACTTATATGCTTTCTTGTTAATTTTTGGTATATTTGCCTTTTTTGTTTTTATTTTTCTTTTTGAGATCCCTAGACTGTGAACAGTAATCATTGATTGAATATCTACTTCCATAGTAATTTCTGCATTCTGTATGCTGCCTCTTCATGGTTGTTCCCCTTTTCATCTAACACATTTTCATTCCAATATGCTCATCTATTTTTATTTTATTTTTTGCCTGTGTTTTAAAATTCTTATAAAAAAGTCCTTACTCATACCAAAGTCATAGAATATGTTGGCTACATTTTCTTCAAAATCTTAAAAGTTTTTGTGTTGATTTTTTCTATAGTGTAAGATAGGTGTCTAGTATGTTTTTTGCATATAGACATTCATTTTTCCCATCACTATTTATTGAAATGACTATTCTTTTCTTAATATATGTTCTTTCTTCTCTTTTTGATATCACTTAGTCTATTATCCCAGTTTAAATCCTGTGAACTATAGTGATGAAAAGTCAAGATATGCCCATGAATTATTGGATTTAAGGATTGCTTCATAGGACAAACATGGCTGGTCCTATAATCTGGCTAAAAACACATGGTTGGGGATCTCATTGGCTCCAGGTTACTACTATTATTTTTCTAAATGGGCACAGTTTGAAACTGCCCTCCAAGTTCTTATCTCTATATGCAGAGATTAATGCAGCTTTTAGACTCCTCAGAGAAATTTCTATGTGCGGTGGATGTCAGTCAACATAGAAGCTGAAAGCTGGTCTGAGTCCAGAGAAGAACTCGCTGTGGATTTTTCTGCCACAGTGAGACACCTATCCCACAGTTTCTTCCCAAGGCTCAGAACCTATTAGAGAAGGGGACATGGGAAATGGTAAGAGTTGAATATCAGGGAGGACAGATGTGACGTATCTTCTGGGTACGACAGGACTACTGCACTTATAAACACACAGCAGTTGTGGTTGCCTGTGTAACACTGGCATGTAAGCGAGCCAGTCAACATTTGATCATGGAGAGGGGAGGTGCCTGTGAATGCCCACCCCTAGCTGAGGAGCTATTGACATTGATACTTGATGGTTTCTGGAGGAAGAGCAGTCAGTTTTCATCGAGACTCTGTTCTCTCACAGGCTAACCTTTATCCAATGGAAGGCCTCGCACCCTTGAGTATGTGGACAGCAAGTCCTTTTACCTGCTGAGCCATATCACTGGCTGGCTTAGCCCCACTGTTGTAAGAATGTGGGAGTCATTTTTATTATGCACACTAGGAATAATTGTCAAATGAGCTACACCACTGCTTTGCTTTATTAACTTTTTAAAAGACCGAGTGAAAGACTGTTCTACTAAAAGAAGATAGCATTGATTTTTATGGAGGGATTTCTTAATGTGTAAAATTTTATTTTATTTTATACTGTTCTTTAGAATCATGTTTGTTTTCTAATGAGAGACAGAGATGGGTTGGAACTGGATAGGAAGGGGGTGGGGAGGAGCGGAAGGAGGAGAAATCATAGTCACATATTTTATGTGAGAAAAAAAAACTATTTTTAATGAAATAAAACATCCCTGAAAGTGGAACTAAAAGTTATATTGCATTTTATATTGTGATATTAAAATAAGATCCTGTAAATAAACACAAAAGGAAAGCTATTTATGTATTGATATATTTGTGTTTTGTGTTGATGAAAGGATTAATGGTACTGGTAGATTTTTTTTTGCCTATTTGATACAGTTTAGAATAATCTTCAAAGAGGGAACCTCAGTTGAAAAAAAATGTCTCCGTCAGATTGGTCTGTAGGGAATTTTCTTGATTAATGACTGAATTTCACTCCTAGGCAGGTAGTCTTGGGTAATATCAGAAAGCAAGCTGAACAAGCCATGAAGACCAAGTCAATAAGAAGCCTTCGTTGACAGCCTCTATTGCAGATTCTGCCTCTAGACTCCTGCCTTGTGTTCTGCCCTGAGTTTCCTTCTTGCTTATTATAAAATGTATTATGAACTAAGCCTTCTCCTCCCCAAGTTGCTCTTGGTCGTAGTCTTGATCACAGCAATAGAAAGCAAACTACACCAGTGCCTAACACAATCTTGTCCAGCTGCATACATTTTCCTGCAAACTAAGTAATTTTTCTTTCTAGCTGAATAAAATTTAGCAAAGTATCTATACAGTTCTTCAAAAAATCTGTTTACCTGGTGATGGATCTATAGGCTTATTTCATTTCCTAGTTGTTTTGAATGGTACAGGTAAGAGTGTGGATGGGAAATATCTCTTTGGTATATGAACTTAGATTTCCTTTGGATATATACTCAAGAAAAATGCTCAGTGAAAGATAATGTTTACTCAGATAATTTTAAACTAAGGATATTGTTTTTGCAAGTTAAATGAAATACATTTTTGTTATTTCTTTATTTTCTTTTTTTACTGATTGAAAATCTTATACATGCATAGAATATATTTTGATCAAGCCTAATTTCCATTTCTGCCCCTTTAATTTTCTACTTATCTCTGTTGCCATGGTTTCCTCATGGTTTCATGTGTTCTTCCCCGCCCTATCACGCAGAGTCCACTGTGTGCTGTCAGTATGGGCTGCATGTAGGCCCATTTCCAGGCACGGTGGCAGTTCCTTTTCTAACAGACTTTAGTGGCCAATAGCTCCTCAGCTAGGGGTACAACTTTCTGGCCATCTTCACTCCATGCTTGAGTTTTGTCTGGTAATATTGTACATTGTCTCACACACGCAATCCAACAAAGTGCAGGTTTCTTCTTGATGGAAAAGTATTATACTAGTTTTTTACCTTTCAAGTATCTTCTGTCAAATGCCAGCACTCTGACTGGTTTGTTATATATCTGCTTTATATATTTTGAAAATCAGCTATCTGTCATATTTGGATTATTGAAGATCTTTTCCCATTCTTTAGGCTGCCATTTTGTCCTATTAACTGTGTCCTTTGCTTTACAGAAACATTTCAGTTTCATGAGGTACAGTTTATTGATTTTCGATCTTAGTGTCTGTGCTACTGGTGTGCAGTTCAGGGCTTTGTTTCCTGGGCCAATGCATTGGAGATTATTTTCCACTTTCTCTTTTCCCTGGTTCAGTATGTCTGGATTTATTTTGAGATCTTTAATCCACTTGGACTTGAGTTTTGTTCATGGTGTTAGATATGCCTTGCCTACTTATAGTTTGCTTTCTCTTTCAGGCTTGAGACTTCAAGATATAAACTCTCAGCTTCCTATTCTACCCTCCAAGCCTCCTGCCCGCTGCCTGCAGTCCCTAGTATTATGGACTCAGCCCTGTGGAACTGTAAGTCAAAGTAACTCCTTTATATGTTGCTTTGGTCACGGTGCTTTATGACAGCAACAGAAAAGTAGATCTTGTGCCAAGCACTGTCAGGTTTTCTAATCTTGATTAGCTTCCTACTGAGTTTCTTACTCAAGTAAATAAACTCCTTTGCAAGTGAATGTGCTGTATGTTGAGATATTTAGGCTTCTCTGTATGAAGAAAAATGTAGATTGTGTTCCTCTTCTTAAAGTTCTGTTCTTCTAAGAATCATAAAATATGACCATTGGAAACAATTTCAGTTTTCTTGATAACCGTCATCAGCTAACGTAATTTTGGTACTGAGTAATTGGGCTTTTATTGACCAAGTTGCCCATAAGGTGGAAATGTCCTATTTGTGACAACCATTACCCTCTACATTGTGTGGTTCTGAGTTTAGTGCATTGGACTGGGCAGTGATTGCCAGATTCAAATATTCACCGAATGCCTTGGTCATTAGATAGTAATTGCTTAGAGATGAGAAGCCCTTCCACAAGCACTGCTTGCTATTAGCAAAAGGAGATTTGCTGTCAGGTTAGATCAGTACAATAGCTGACTGCACACATTTGTTGCAATCGTCAGTCTTAGGAGGTAAAATTTTGAATTTGTGTAAAGGAAAGCTTCTGGCCCAGCTCTGAGAGTAAGATGGCTGCAGACTGCAGTTTGTCTAGGACAGCTTTAGGAAGCAATTCTTTTCTGGAGAAATTTAATTTATGACCCAGACTTACAAAAATAAAACTCACACAGCTTTAGACATTTTAATTCCTTACCATTGCGCCTAAGATAGCCAAAGCTTTGGCTAACTTTTGGTTTCTAACAGTGCATGCTGGGTATGAACAAGCCCACTTTTCTGCAAGCCTTGGTAACTTTTTGAGAATAATTTGAAATAGCAGGCACTATAAAACAGTAAAGGCCATTAATATTTTAAAATCTAGTATCATTTTTCTTAAAAATACACGTTAATAACTGCTGACATGCAGTGACTCATTCCCCTTCCTCTCAGACTGTTACAAAGTGCAGTCAGTGAGTCAGTGACGAGGATGGCTGACTTCACGGGAAGTGTTTCCAGGAGGAAGAGTCTTTGGAAAACTCTTCACTGAGCATTCTCGCCATTGTTTTCCAGAATCACCCTCTTTGATTTGTTTCCTTTCCTTCCCGTGACCTCGTTGTCTGAGGACATTTCAAAACCCCCAGGAGCTGCCTGCTTCCTTCTGCTACAACATCTGTTTCCATATACCAACCATGTTTTCTTCAGAGCTTTTGAGCTTCTCTTGGCTTGCCTTGGTTCTAATGGATAAGTTGTAGGTTTTTATTTTTTTGTTGTGTGTGTGTGTGTCTTCTCTTTGTCCTTCCACTGTTCAGATTTAAATGTAAAATTCCACTTATTTTAAAAGTCTGGTTTTTCTCTACTGTATTTAAAATTTTAAATTCTTTATTCTTTTTGAAAATCACACACACACATATGTGTATACACACGCACCTTTAATTGATGTGTATTTCACACCATGCATTCTGATCCCACTTATCTTCTGTCTCCTCAAATTTGCCCTCTGCCCTTGCCACCTCTCCCCCAAATCAAAACCAATTTTTAATAGAAAAAATCCAAAAAAACAAGCATTGGTGTAGGAGTTCCTTCTGTTTGTGTGTTGCTTTCATTGGTTAAGGAATAAAGAAACTGCCTTGGCCTAGTTGATAGGGCTGGTCGTAGGCATCAGCCTGAGCCCGGTTGTCACCATGGCCCCACGAGGTGGCCCAGACCTGTGACATCAGCATCTTCTATGATCTCAGAAGCCACAGATATAAACAGAGACCCTGACTGTGGCAGGGACATGGACCCAGACATGGTTCTAGACTGCAGCCCTGGACTGAATGGTACCATGGCCCCAGCTGACAACTCTGATTACCCAAATTGGCCTGTCCCTAGTGGTGGTGGCACAGGTTTCAGACACCAGGATGACCTCTTTTTAATTATTATTATTATTTAATTATTCTCTCAAATTAGATAATGAATATTAAAAACTGTATTAGTTTCACTGAAAATTTCCAATCATGGTTATGTATTTCAGAGAAGGCCTATGACCTTGAGCTTGATCTTTATCATCACAAAAATATACAACTTTGAAATTTTCTTTATGTCTCTGTGTTCTTCCATTATTTCTCTAACTTATAAATGTACTGTTCTACTCCTTCAGGTTTTAATTGTGAAAAGCACTATGTTTATGAGTGACTAGTATTCGCAGTCAGAACTGGGTGTCCAAAAATCCTCCCCATGTTATCTAGAATGTCTAAGAACAGCAATCGTTCTCCTAGCTTCTGCTTCCTCTCTCTAAATCGCTATCTGTCCATGTGTATTCTCCCCCATCTGTGCCTACTAGGAACATCTGCAGAGATGTTTGAGGTTTGCATTCACAAGCATGTTCAGAGATGGAGGTGCTGTTGGAGGGTGAGGGTATGCCCTGGCAGGGTATGGTGATAGCTGTCTATATTTTTGTCTGTGTAAAAACATGTTCTTCTACACCCAAAGTTCATATTTTAAGTTGAAAATAATTTTCAATGAAAGAAAATTAAAATACAGAGCTGTTTTAGAAGTCTCTTTAATATACTTTCCAAGAGAAATATGATATCAATAGGATACCTACCCTATGTATATTAGATCTAATGAACTCTACAGGCCCAGTGTCTGTGTGATCTGGTGGCTGTGCTCCGTCCTGTTATTTTGATTGTCCCTAGGTCTTGCTTTTCACATTATCCCTCACCTTCTCTTTCTTCAGTGCTTTTCTTATTTTAATTGTTCTTCACTTCTTGGAATGCTGTGGCCCTGGCCTCCTCTGTCCACAATTCACAGAACTTTCTGTGAAAGAAATGGAAAAAGGAAAAGCAGGGGATAAATATCTCAGGAACATCGCAGAGGTTGACATCCATCCAGGAGGGGCTCCATTTCCAGGCAGGACCTTGAAGGCAGAGTTATTTATAACTCCCCTGGATCTGTAATTCCCTTAGTATCCATCCTTTACGTGTACTACTGAGCTCTCCAGAATTTGCAGATCTTCCTTAAAATAAATGCAAAGGCGAGACAATACAGACAGTGACGCAGCTTCTCCGTGCTATCTATGGGGAGGAGAAGGCTAGAGGGCCGGAGGCTCTCAGTGAGATGCTCCGATTCTCATGACACATTGACATCTCATCTTGTCACCGAGAGGAAAATGTTCCTAAGGCTTTTGGCTGCGTGCTTTTGATAATTTAAAAATTCTAGCAGTGAAACCCAGTAATATCTCTAATTGGAAGTCTTGCTATAAACAACATAAGTGCGTTTTAAATGTTTCGTTTCCTAAGGCTCTATGTTGAAATTTCAATCTTTTGGTAAAATGCAGTTTGTAGAAGACCAAATGATGCCACACTATGTAAAATGATTATTGCACGTAGACCGAAAGTTGGTTATTTTATTGACTATCTGGAAAGGAACACTAGGAAGGCTTAGAGTAGTTCACTAAACTTACTGTGAGGTAAAATGTCTTTCTTTTCAAAACTAATACCTTAGGGTATCAGAGAAAGTATTGTGTTTTATTACAGCAGGGAACTTTATGTCCTCTTTCCCACTCCCAGTCCTTTCTTCTTCCTGTGTTTCTTTGACATGGTTTCACACATCACAGGGTGGCCCCAACCTCCCTCTACATAGCAGAGAATGATCCTGAATTTCTGATTCTCTGGCTTTTAATTCCTGAGTTCCGGGATGACAAGTGGGGGCTCTGATACCTGTTTGTGTGTTGCAGGGGGTAGATTCTAAAGGTTCATGCATTTCAGGCAAACACTCCTCCAGATGAGCTGTAACTTTAAAGCAGAATTTTCATACATTTTGTTAGCTGTGGAAGTTTGGTCTCATCCACCTCCTCTGTTGCTGCCCTCCCCGTACTCTCTGTCCTAGTCGGCTTGTTCCTTTCTTTCCCCGAGATAATCACCATTTCTGTTCTTTTTGAAAATGTATTATTACTTGATCTTGTAATGGAAAAAGTTCAAGTTATAGCATCAAGTCAGAAAATTTACAGCTGATAGGCCTTCATTTTTATAGGCATTAAGAGAAGAAGGCAAGAAAGCATAGGCTGATTCAATATTGTCTAAGTTTAGCTGGCCTTAAGGTCAACTCCTGGTTTAGGATGGTTTCCATGCAAACAGTTGTCATTCAGTCGGGTTATGTGTGGCTCAGAGGTCTGTGTCTGAAAACTGGGCTAACCAGTTGCTGGTTTTATAACCAGACAATGTATGCAAGCTTCTTGTTAGCTCCATGGGCTTCAGTATGAAATGGGAATGAACATACTTTTATATGTTTTATATAGATAAAGTACTAATGGCATTGTCGACCCCTGCTGAGAACGGACAAAGAGTGAATTGTCTCTCTGCAATAGCTGAACCGATGTTGAATCTTAGCATTGCCTTTTATTATGTAGCACTGAGAAGGTTTTTATAATTTCTCTACATGGCAAATATTTAAATCCATTTTCCTTTGCTCCTGAGGAATGGTGTGACATTTAAATGTGAACATGGTTGAGCACGACCTTGTTAAGTATGAAATAAGTGAGACTATGCCACCAGCATGCCTGCTAATGGAAGGAAACAGAGACATGACCTCACTGTACTTAGTCTCTAGAGAACTAGCAGATGGGTATCAGCGCACAAAGTTGAGTGAAGGGAGTGTGAGTCTCATTAAGACTTGTACAGTAAGACTGGGATTGAAATCAGCCGAGAGAAAAGTAAACTTTTTCTAATGTTAACAAATATATCTTAAATCTTTTTTGCTATGGCAATCTATATAAATAAGATTATTATTGACTTTTATTTAGATGATTTGTGTTAGCAAAGTCTTTTTGAAGGCTCCGTCGGAGCACCCGGCAAACCCCTGACCTTCCTAACATAGGCCATTCCTCCCTGTTTCCCTAGAAGTAAGAGAAGCACCTGTTATTTATTCACTTTTGTATCCCTAGCATGTCACA